CTGGGCTCACATTGCATTTTAGTACAGCGGAATTACCAATAAAGTGGTTTCCAAAGTTGTGTTTTTTTTCTTTTTCTATTGTCAGACAAGAGAATGAGTATGAAATATTGACTGAAATTCAGCCCAGTAAGTCTACATGCTCACATTTAGTCACTTCAGAGGCATTTTCAAGCTGCGGCTCTGCAACACTGAACCACTGATTTTATAACTACAGTGTTGTCTGACAAACTCTCCAAATATATGAGTAAAAAAATACAACTGTGCAGTGAATTTGGTGATATTTCCAAGAACCTTTAAAATCCTAAAAGGTATGGATTAATTGTATGTTATATTTACAGGATTTGCAATATATTGTTTCCAGTGTGGGGAGGACCTGAGCAGATGACTGCACTGTAGAGGTCAACACATGACTCTGTAGCTCCAGATCAGAAGGTTGTGTGTTCAAATCATGTGAGGGTCACAATGTTTGCTTCTTTATGAGGAAACCTCAAAATTCTGAACTCTGTTGTACTCATTCACATCACCAGTGCACAGGCTAACTCTCCAAGAAACAATACATTCATGTAAACATGTTTGGGTTTAAATTGGTAATGTACGCATAATTCTTCCTAAATTCAAGAATCACATTACAAGTATGGTTTCTTTCATTTTCAGGCTGTATGGTTCACTGCTTGTACCACCTTTGACATGTAATTGAGCTTTACTTTGGCCACAAAATGATTACTTGAAAGATTTGCAATATATTGTTTCCAGTGTTTGGAAGACCTGAGCAGATGACTGCACCTGTTGTGGTCAGCACATGACTCTGTGGCGCAACGGTAGCGCGTCTGACTCCAGATCAGAAGGTTGCGTGTTCAAATCACGTCAGGGTCAGTATTTAAGCTCCACCAGCTGTTTAGTGTATTGGGTCATGTTCTGCACCCTTCACACATCAATGTCATCCCAGTTTGGAGATCCTTTCTGTAAAGAGTTTGCTTGAAAATTAACTTCTACTTGTAGATTGCCCCCAGCTTTACAAGCAAGTAAATCTTTATTTAACTGCTACATACCAGCAGAGGAACCACTTGTGGTCTAACTCAACCTCACTGCCAGCTGCTTTCAGGTGAGCCATCTCGAACAAACAGCTGCCCAGTAGTAACCAGGTTTATTGACTTATTAAAGATGCCTCTGTAAACTGTAAGATTTCTCATTCACAGGCAAAGCTCACAAAATGCTTTGCTGTTTGCTGCAAGAGTGAACACAAGAGTCTTCATGCACTTTCAGCATCTCAGGAACTGAAGATGCAGTAAATTGCTTTTTATCACCAATTGCAGTGTCACCACCATCACAGGTCAAATTAATGGATCTCCAACAGCTTGTTGTCAAGTTCTACACAAGTCTGTTAATGATCCATTAATTTGAGTCAGGTGTGTTGCAGTACAGAAACGCCTAAAACATGCGGGACAGTAGCTCACGAGGACTAGAGTTGGAGATCCCTGCTCTAAAGAGTTTGCTTGAAACTTAACCACTACTAGTAGATAGCCCCCAGCTTTACAAGGCAGTAAGAATTTATTAAACTACTATATACCAGCAGAGGAACCAATTGTGGTCTAGCTCAAACTCACTGCCAGCTGCTTTCAGGTGAGCTATTTAGAATGAACAGCTGCTCTGCAGTACACCAGGTTTATTTACTGCAGCTCTGCAACGTAAAACTACTGATTTTCTAACCAAAGTGTTGTCTGACAAACTCCCCAAACATATTAGTTAAAACATACAACTGGGCAGTAAATTTGGCGATATTTCAAAGTAAAATTATCACTCAAAGAGAAAGTTAGAAGCGGCTGTCAGTTGTTTTGCTGCAATCATAGAATCAGAGAGAGTCTTGTTCCTGAACGGGCGTGGACAGCAGCAGCTCAGCAGCATTTAAAGCCACAGACACTGAAACAGCCAGTTTAGAACAGAACTAAAACAAAGGGGTTATATAAAATAAACCATTTTTGTAGTATTTTTAGCTGAAAGATGAAAGACCCATTCTGAGGACATGGGAAAATTTTACAATGTAAGACCTTTAAAACATGTAGCAGGTGACGGTTAACAAAAAAATATATTAATGTCAGAAATTTGATTGTGACCAGAGATAATGAAATGCTATGCCCTGACTGATGAATCAGGTCATCATTACATGGGAATTCACATGCAACTACTGTAACTATTTTAGTCTGTGCAGTCTCAGAGTGAAAAAATAACAGATTAAGACAGACAGTGTGACCCACGTGTCTTTTCCACCAGCTTGAGGATAACTCCTCCGACGTGGAGGTCAGAGGTCACACTGACAGTGACAGGTAGGGCATCAGACCCCAGATCCTCCACTGTGACTGACAGGTCCCACGCCGCCATGCTGGGAGAGAAAGAAGAAGAAGAGAGAGTGTGAGAAAAATCCAGGAGACAGTTCTGACGGAATAGAGTTGACATTTGAGGAAAATAAAGCAGGAGAGACAAACATGGAGCGAGTGAAGCAGTGAAGGAAGGACAGCTTTAGCAACACTGTCCGTCTGATAAACTAAAATAAAATGATGCTCAGCAAGTGCTCTATTGTGTGTGACAAATGTCTTTTTGTGTGTTTTTGTTTGGTGCAAATATGTGACAGCTACGACAAAGATGAGAAGAATATGAACAAGACTTGTAATTAATCTTTTCCGTGAAATTACTCATCTTAATTAGTTTTTTCCCAAGCTGATTAAAATACAAACATCAGGTCTGACATGAATAGCGCTCAGATTTATTGTGAAGGGTGATTCTGTGATTATTATTTTATATGTGTCACAAGTGAGCAATTATGCACTTTGATACAGTAATAAATTGTTCCTATGTCTAAAAAATACATCTGAAAACTCTCAACAAACAAGAACATGAGATGTCAGAACAGTTAAAATGAGAAACATGAAAGAGAATTTCACTTCTGCTTCAATTAATGTTTTCTGCAATAATTTAATATGTGAGAGATGACGAACACATGCATTTATAATTCACTTTCAAGGACTGCTGAGAAAGTTGAATTGCAAATGCTGTAACTGTAAAAAAAAAAGTTTTGGGCACATGACACAAAAGATATGAATAGAGACAGAGAGAGGATAGATGACCTGTCAATCACACTTCTGCCAACCAGCTGTGAGAAAAAGACTTTAACTCACTGTTAATATCACATGATGTTGAGCAACAAACACACACGCACACATACACACATGCTATATGGCATGTCCAGTTTGACGAGCACTTCCTATTTCTGACTTAAACTATCACCATGGACGCACACTTCCGCTTTCTGGTCCGCCCAAGGCAAAGAGTTCATCCAATACTGACACAGTCTCCTCCCGAGTGTGTGTGAAAATGTAAGCCCATCCTAAAAATATTACATTTTAGGATTAAAACACATCTTTTTTCTCCATGTATGAACATTTTCAAAGACTTTTACCGTCAGTAACAGGATGACCCAAAGATAGCATGTCTGCATCTCTTCTGGAGGCGTAAGCTTTCTTTATCTGCATGACTTTGCCATTTAATACTTTTATTTGACATTTAATAGAGTGCAGTGACCTATTAAATGACTATTGATGTGTATATTTAATACAGAAGCCGCTCACACCCATGCCCTACACTAACTCTGCTCATGCTTTCTCTCACGCTGTCAGACATCCACACACGCACATTTTAAAAGACAATACCGTCAATCTCCTCTGTCCAAGGTTTGCAGAAATACCAACTGGGGGACCCCTGTACCTGTATGAGAGCTCTGAAGAAGTTTCCCAGGTTTTCTGTGAGAATATGCAGCAGTTTCACCCCTCCAGGGCTGGGTGGGTTGTGGTCTGTGGAGCTGTTTTAGTGCCACTTGTGTCACCTCTGTCAAAAAAGCCTCGTTCCTTTTTTTGTCAGTTTCCGCCAGGCGGAAATGTGCAAAGGGCTCAACATTTGACTGACAGGCCCAGACAGTGATACATATTAGGCAATGCGCGTGTGCATACAGCATATGTGGGAAGTGTGGGACATTACACAAAACACACTAACAATAATAATATTGTAGAGTCTTAACCTTACTATTTATTTTTGTCAGGCAAATGTATATTTGATATTTTTTTGGAAGTCTTAACTGTTAAATTTAAATCACACAATAAATAATATTGTATGGTTGATGAGTTTGATATTTGAAATTTTATGTAAATTTATATTGCTGCCTTTACTGTTGTTTTAAATGTCTCAATATGACTAATGGTGACTTGACTAGAAATTATCACTCTCCTCTCTTTGTTTTTGTCCTCCCTTTTCATGAGAATTACATGCACACATGTATTAAATTAAGTAGTGATCACATTTTGTGTGTTGTAAAATTACCAATACGTAATAGGCTGTGAGTTGTGAACTTGAATAGCAACTTTTGTGGCTTTTGTTCAAATTTCAGCTACAAAAAAATAAAATAAAATTAGAGCAAGTTTTATGGTCTTCTACTAGCAGTAATTTTATTCAGTTTAAACAAAAAGAGGCGTTTTCTGTGATGCACACAGATTAATGAGCTCACTGGTGTGATTTGAGGAAAATACTTTCATAAAACGGTGTAGTCTTGGTTAAAATACAAATGTGAGCAGTTTTGGGCATTTAGTTTCATCACACAATAGAAGTCGACAAACTGTGTTTGACGAAGACTGAATTATGTCTTCTTCAGGGACAAGCAGCTTTTAGAGAATCGGTGATGGTACAATTTCTTTACAGCAAAAGCTCAGCTTATTACAGAGCCAATGTTTTGACTTGCTTTCTAAAGATACATTTTTGTCCTCTCAACCGCGCTATTTCTACAACACTGTCGTTTTTTAAACCACTATTGACGTCACTAGCGTGTTTAGTCGGTGTGTATGCCATCTTCGAGCAATGGCAAAATTTCCGATAGTCTTGAAGGAGGCATAAATTTGTGGTCGTTGGCCTCGGCTCTTCCACATCTCTACAGTCGGGGTCTGTAGTCGGTGTGAAACTAAAAATAGAGGGACTCTGGGTATACTGTCGCATATATTTTTCCCTGTTAACAGTACAGGCCGTTTACGACTAGCTCTAGATACCCCATAATGCTTGACACATAAAAAAACGATTAGGCATTTTAGTGACAGTCAGCTAGCCTCCCCCTTGCCAATGGTACATTCCACACTTTAACTTCCAAAACAAAAATGGCACATGGGAAGTGAATGTGGGAGGTGTGTTCGTATCGAAAACGAAACCCAACGGCGGCGTGACCGACACTGAACAGCAGTTGCACGAACCGTTGCCCTCCTCGGTGTCTCTCAGATATGGCACTGCAAGTATCAGCTCGGGTTTCACATGTCAGAGCCCTCCCGCGCTCCACCGGCCCTCTGTCCCGAGCCGGTGTCAAGTTCAAGCACATCCTAACTCCTGGGAGCCCCCAGCTGGGAGGGCAGCCAGCAACAGGTCCTCTCCGCGGCCATATTAACGCTGCCCCCAGAGCTGCCAAACTCTCAACAACAACAGCGACAGCAGCACTTTGGAAGGCCAGTCAGGGGAACGGGTCCTCCTCACCCCGGGGAAGGAGAGGCTGGCTGGGCAGGTTGGCCCTCGGTGCTGCCCTCGGAGTGAGCTCAGCCGCGCTGGTCCATTCCGTCCACACCGGAGCCTTCACCGCCATGGCCCTCAAAATTAACCTGGACTCTGCTGAGGGAGACTGGAAGGAGACCAAGGGTGAGAGTGTTCAACCAAGGCCGAGAAGATTTTAATTTCCTTTACAACACGCAGAGGCGTTGCTGTGTTCTTCATACAATGGGGGCTTGGTCCTGTACAGCACTCTTTATGTTTTAACAGGATCATGCTCCATTTTCAAGTCATTTCAGTGTAAAGTTCATGTAAAACGTGAGACAGTAGCAAAGAAGGGTCACTTTACATTCTTTTTCATGTGCTTGGTCCATTTCTAAGTCTAAACTTAGATTATCCTGATTTCTAGCGCTATAATCAAATGAAAAGGTGTTCCTTGAAAGTAGTAATTTGGGTGACAAATCCTTTAAGTAGTCCACGAAAAGAGATGCAGACACTGGTCAGAGCTGAAGTTCACTCATAAAGTCCCACAACACAGTACTCCAAATACACAAGTAATAATAATCAGAACAAATCTTTTAAATGTGTTCCTGACAAAACAAAACAAACAAATCCTGTTCATAGCTAAATGTTTGTGTGTCTAATCTAACCTCGGGCATCTTCTGAAAAGGACAATAATACGTTTTTATTGCTACCTGCTGGTATGTAGTAGCTACCTGTTGTCATGTTTTTTTTTAACAATTACTGAAGTCATGATGTGTACGTCGTTATTGGACACATCTATGCACACAGTCACTTCTGCAGATATCCTGCTGAAAGACTGTCACATGGAAAACTGTCCATAATAAAACACTCGATGTGTCAGAAAAATATTTCTGACTTTAGTAAACAGACACTTGCAATTAGTAAAATAATATGGCAACCTTTTTAAACCACTGTGTCATATTATTTTTGAGTCCTTTAAACGTGATCAAAATGACTGATGAATAAATGTAGGGTTACTTTTAAAATGTAAAACTTTAAAAAGCAAACAAAACATTTTGACATGGGGCCGTTCATAAAACATTCAGGGCTGTAGCCTCGGATGCTCAGGCCCAACGCCACCACTGACAACAACTAATCTGCTGAATTGGTGCTGGTGGCTGGTCAGCTGTCAGTCTCTGTATTGTTACCGGTCAGATGCTGCAACACAAAAACTAGCCACCATATCCATTTAAAATGAATGATTATGGTACCAACAAAGTGGAGACTCAAGACGAACATATTAGATCGGAAAGGGTGAAATTTGTTAGAATATTATGTCCTCTGTAATGTCCAAGTAGAGCTAGCGCACTAAACTCCTGGGATGTATGAAATATATATGAAACAATCAATGCAAGTGAGACTGGGAATGTTATACATACATCTAGGCTTCAGCTAATGATCTTTTTAATTAATTATGAAGTAATTGCTTATTTACCTCTTAAAAGGTCGAACATATTGACTAAAAATTAAAAGTGATGAGCAAATAGCTAAGGAATATTGATGTAACATTACAGCCGTAGGGCACACTCCATATTATATAAGCTTGTGAAAAATTTAAACACATCATATTTTGCTGTCTTCATAAGCTAAATCTGATCTAGAACAAACTTAAACATATGGACCCTAGATTATTAGCCCCTTTCGTTCACTACACACAGTAGATGTCTGTCGAAATGTTGCAGTTTGTAGAAACCTATAGTGTGTTCATCAAGCCTGTCTTCAGTCTAGTAGACCAAAAGTATCATGTTTGCGTCTTTTCCTTGAGATCAGTGAATATTTAACCAATGGTTTATTTCACTAACAGCTTATTTACCACCTCTTTTTCTTCCTCTAACTTGTCTCTTAGGCTTCTTGCTGTCTCTTTCTGTGAAGGACAGGCGTCAATACCACAGGACTTCTGGCTTTGTGCCGCTGGATGACATCCCAGTGTGGACTCCCGCTGCAGGTCAGACACCCAACATCAGTCACCGTCAGGTTCATTCAGAGTTTGGTGGTGGTGGTGCGATCTTTTGAGAATCATGAATATATTTTACCGGTGTAATCAGATTTAAGGCCACATCACATCAAATAAGTGAAAACTGACACAAAGAGCATTTCCAGATTATGAGGAACAACCAAGATTTTGAAGCACCTTGTATGCAAAATTTCTGTTTGTTATGGAAATCACATTTTAAACTCTATGCAAAATATAAACACACTGAAATTTGATGTGATGTTATCCGAAGCTTAAAAAAATTGTAATATTTTATGAACAAAATGTCTTCCAAATGTTACTCTATTTCTCTTCTTATGAGTAGTTCTTGCAGTCAGGTTTACAAATAATGCAGCTGAAGAAAACAGTCTTGAAAAAGTGTTAAAAGTAAAATCACCAGTCAATATGTGACTATTTACTCTTTACAACTGCAAACGAAGTTGCAAGTCAAGTAGATTTACATGTCAAGTTTGTACCTGAATCTAGAAACAGGCTGTTTAAATCTATGTGAAATGCACATCCAGAGTAGGACAGCAGCAGTGCAGAGTCCTTTAGAAATATTATGATATTGTAGTTCAAACCACAGTCAAGTTTTGTCTGTGTTTGTCAGTTATCCGGGTCATGGTAATCCTTGGAGCTTCAGTAAAATTGGAAAATGGACAGTTTAGAACTGAAAAGTCTCTTGGATGAGTGGTAAAACATCTTGAAGAACCTATAAGAGAAGTCCAGTTGTTTTTTTGCTAAAGCTCCCAGGAATTATTGTTTATCTGACTTTGTTTGGCCACATCCTGGCACATTCCCTGCTGCACTGCAAACCCATACACTGACTATCATAGAAGAAGTGAAAGAAGAACACACATTATTTCCTGTGTTACATTTTTAAATCTATAGGTACCATAATTTAAATCCGATTTTACAGTCTCCATTCTTGTGCATATTTCCCAGGAACATAAAATGATCCTGAGACCTAAAAGTTAATATAAAAGATAAATGTAGTCTCTGGATTTTAGAAATACAGCCAGCATGCAGCTGCCCTGAACTGCATTATTTCTACCAGCTAGCAGGGGGTCGAGTTCCTGGTTGGAAAAAGAAGTCTGATTGTATAGAAGAGTATGAGAAAATTCCTCAAATACTCATTTAATTTGTGACCGCAGTTGACATTTAAAAAAAAAAAAAAAAGTTCATGCTCTCAATTACTCGTTTCACATCTCTTTCAATAGAGTGGGATGTTTGTAAATTCTGCTCCCATTTAGAGTAAAATAGATGGTAAAGCAGGTTATGTTTAGGGTGTGATTACCTCGTAATTGACAAGTCGTTATCATATGGTCGTGCATAGTCCTCAGGATATCAGTCAGATCCACCCCTAACTTCTGCTCAGCTTTAACCTCTCGTCCAAATACAGTCATTCCTGACTCCAAATAAACAAGGTGCTAGTCCATAAACCGGCGGGTGACGTCCCTTTCGATACGTCTACTTTTTTTATGCCGTCTGTGGATTGAACACCCTGTTCTTGTGTGTCTCATTATCAGGTGGCTCTGAGCCAAGTCGCTACCAGAGGAATGAAAAACTGGACCAGAAGATTTCCCTCTACAGCGGTGACATCACCAAGCTGGAGATAGGTGCTATTGTCAATGCAGGTATGTGCGCTTTTAGCTATGTCAGTGTTTAGTTTGTTATCCAACATGTTACCAATGATCTGTTTTAAGGATAACTTTATTTATTATTGCTTTGAAAAGCAAAGGATTTGAAAGCGTTTTGACACACAAAGCAAAAGCAGGATAGCCAGAAGGGAAAATAAGAGGGAGACAGTAAGGCCAAACAGAGCAAAGCAAAATTAAGATGAAATTATGATTAAAGCCCAAACAAGAAGACAAACAACCCAAGAATGTGAATTGCTAAATGGGAATCTAAATACATACAAATGAGATAAATATAAGCAATTAAAGCTTAATAAGCAATAAAAAAATGATACAACATCGAAGCAAGTCTGGTAAAATGGGTTTTGAGACATGGTTTAAAGGACATCACTGATTCTGTGAGCCATATCTCCTCAGGCAGGTTGTTCCAAAGCTGAGAGGTCCTGATGGCAAACGCATTGTCACCTTTGGATTTAAACTCCGATTTTGGAGCAGGGTCCCAACTGAGGATCTAAAGCTGCAAGCCGCTTCATATGGTGTCAACATTCTGCTATACAGTTCGAGGCCAGACCAAGACGTGCTTTTTAATTGACCAGTAAAATCTTAAAATGAATCCTAAAACACACAGGGAGCCAATGCCGAAAAGTCTGGGGTGGTGTGTGTCAGTAAGAATCTGAAAATAGTTGGATGTGAGAAGGACATAGTAGCAGTTGTTGAGCCTGAAGAAGTGCATGCATGACTTTTGGGAGGTCAAACTGTGAGAGCATTGGTTTGATTCTGGAGATGTTTCTTAACTAAAGGGGGCAGAACTGGTCACCTTTTTTTTGATCAAAGCTTTCAAGCTTAAATCTCAAAAGTACTCTCAGATTTCTGGTAACAGGCTTCACATCAGCAGACAAGTTACCAAGGCCGCCGAACAAGAACATTATGAAGAAGAGCCGAGCAGACGGAAACACGGGAAAGGATTATGCGTTTAAAAACGGCAGCTTTCAGTCAGTACATAAATTTAGCACACAGCACCTGTGAGGGAAGTTTGTGCTGTGATTATGGGTGTTATGGTTTCTCACAGACTGCTACAGGGTTTTATTTGCAACATGCTGCAAGATTTTCTTTAAATTAGTGGACGCACACAACAGCACAAGAATTGCTGAGTTGCTCCTTGGAAAACATCAAAATTGCATAAAAGCATAGCTAGCGTTCCTGTTATGTCTCAATAATATAATAATTATGGTCAGACTCATTAGAATAACCTACGTGAAACAACCGAGTTAAACTGATGTGTCTTTTAAAAGACCACCAACTCCTCAGATTAAAACCAGCTGTTAGTGAAGACAGCTAATCATAGTCCTATTATGCACCACATGAGGCGCAGTTTACGATGCTAAAAAGACACAAAATAAATGGCTTGGAAATAGTGTGTGTGTGTGTGTGTGTGTGTGTGTGTGTGTGTGTGTGTGTGTGTATTTAGCTTGGAAGGCTTGTTAGGATTTCTTGCACCCAAAATGAATTGTTTGTTTATGTCCTGTTTATGTAGTATCCCCCAGCCATTTGTTGTGGGACACTACATCTGTGAACATCTGTTATCTGCTGCATTTGCATTTGCATCAGCTGGCTAGTGCTGCAACTAGTGACTATTCTTGTTATCGCTAACCTGATTGATTTTCAGTTATCCAGTCTGTTAAGTGTCAGAAAACTCTCTATCACGAACACGACAACGAAAGTGACATATGAAAATGTCCTTTTTTGTCCCAAACACAAAGATATTCAATGTGTTACTTTTTTTCTGGATGAACAATGTAATGCTAAACGAATTTTCTGTCAAATTAAGCAATTTTGTAACTTGAACGGCTCATTTTTTCAATTTCTTAGTATAGTTTATCACTGAGCTACCATGCTAGAACAGTAGACACTATAGACTATTCTATAGACAATGCTTTGTGTAATTAACCATTTGCAGAGAATGTAAAAATGAATTTGTACCAAGGTCAAAAAAAAAAAAAGCTGAAATATCTTTTTTTTTTTCTTTTTTTTAGATGAATACTGAGATATTATAATGTTATACTTGAAACTTTCCATAGACAAACAAATGTAGTAGTTAAATAAGGCAACAAATAATTTATTTAATTCAATTCAATTCAGTTTTATTTGTATAGCGCATATTTACAACAACAAGTCATCTCATAGCGCTTAACAAAGGCAGAGACAGTGCAATCCAAAACATTTGGATTCCCGATAAGCTTCAGCAGTCCGCAAGCAGTCCGCAACAGTGGGAAGGAACCGAAAACCCCCACAGGGGAAAAAAAACCTCCGACAGAACCAGGCTCAGGGAGGGACGGCCATCTGCCTCGACCGGTTGGGTGGATGTAATTTAACAATAAATAAACAGTAATTTTAACATCATACATGTAATTTTGAAATTAGATGTTTTTTCACCAGTTTTGTTACTTCGGACTTGATGTACCCAAGAATAATACACTTTTTTTTTAAAAATCAAAAGGTCAGAAATAATAGAAAAAGGCATAGATGTCAGTCAAATAAGGTTACATGGACTCATAACTTTTACTGCACACAGACCCCTCTCCCTTTATGTATAGTCAACCCAACGGCATATTCTGAGCCAAGAAAATGCCTGCAACCCTGATATATTTTGGTCCAAAATCTCATAGGATCTCCATAAAAGTTGTCTTGTTTTTAAAACCTGTTTTGTGACCACTGTCTGGGTCGCATTACTCCTTTTCTTTCATCAGATGTTGATTTCAAGCACCTACAAGTAGGATTAGAGTCTTTCTAGTGACCATTAGATGGAGCCAGAAGCCAGTTCATTCATTTAAGACCTTTTCCCATAAGGGAAATGTTTGGGCATTTGGGGGAAATTTAATCGCTGTCTTGGCACAGGCGATGCATCAGGGGACAGTGTGGCAGGCCAGCACGCCTAAATGATGCTCTGCGATGAGGCTTTAGTAGAAAATGATAGATCTTCACTGGCAGCTGACTGTCAGCAGGTGTACGCTGTGCCAGCGCCCAGTGAATATGTTGATAGTTGACTCTCATTTACAGCTTTACTGCTTGTATTTGTGCTTGCAAGCCCTCAAACATGCATCTGCCCACAAATGTTTAACTAATTATGTGTGTATATACTGCAAGTAACTGCCTCCGTGTGTCTAGAGAGGCGACTTTGTGTTTGGGTGTGCGTTTTACAAGAGGTTTTACAGAGTCGCCAGATGCAAAGTAGCATGGACTTAACAAGAGGAAACGGCTAGTAAAGTGTCATTTAGCAGAGAGGACGAGGCAAGGTGAGGGAGGGAGGCTGAAAAACTCAGCAACGCCGGAGGAAGCATGACTGAGAGACAGCGTGAGAGAGAGTCAGCACACAGACTGACAAAAAGCAAGAGGGGAGTCTGGAGGAGTGAAAAGAAGAAGATAAAAGAGAGGCAGGGAGAGGAGGACACAGGCTAGTATTTAAATCTCGGACTGCATTGCCATGGCAACAAGCAGGTACAGGATACCCTCAAAAGAGCTTTGGGCAGCAGAGCCCGATCATCCTTTTTCTGTCTGTCTGACTGATTGGCTGGCCAGCTGAATGTCTCCGTGGTCATTTTGTTGACTAAGCGGCTGACCTTTTCACTCGATGACTAACTGATTGACTAAGAGGCTTTGAGTGATGCCAGTCGCACTTAAAGAGATATGACATTAAAATAAAAGAGAGCGGCGAACAGACGTCGAGGCAGTTACTTACACTCATTTAGAAACTTGCAGACTGCGCCTCCTGTTGCAGATCTAACAGCAAAGCTGCAGCGTCAGAAGGCAGCCAGAGCAGCGCTTGTGGTTTTTGACATGTGGAGGGGAGTGTTGTGGATTTTCTCTGGCTGCTCTGAAAGGCCTTGAAGCATCATTTAGCCCCTAAGGCAGCAAACATTCAATTGAAGCCAACTGTGGCCAATTATACGCTATACTGGCAGACTGGTAGGTAGGTCGGGAGGGGGGATCCCAGGCCTGGCTGGTGGGGAGCAATTGATTACAGGCAGTAGAAAACACACACATGTACGAATGAAGAGCAGCGCACATACTGGCGTGCGTGGATTGGATTCAAATAGCAGTGAAGTAACAGGTGGGGACTTAGTTATGTGCTGCCTCATGTTGATTCCTCCTTCCTCCCTTCCTCCTCTCCTCTCCTCAGTCAGCAGCACTCATTGATCAGGTAAGCAGGGCGTTGCAGGGAGGCTGGTTGGGCGCTGTTTGTCGTTTGTGTCTCTCTCAATAAAGATTGGATTTACAGTAACTCTGCACTCCTCCTCCTACTCCTCCTCCTCCTCCTCCTCCTCCCTCCTCCTCCCGCCTCCACCCCCATCCACCCCCATCCAGCCTCCCTCCCTCCCTCCTTCCTTCCTTCCACACTTTTACAGCCCCTGGCTCCTGCCCACTCCTATAAAACACTACAAACATAAAAACCCACAAGCACTTAAGAGCCGTCCTGGTGAGGAGGAGGGTGAGGCGGGGGGGTGGGGGTGTGGGGGGGCATATGGGGGGAGGAGACAGTGGGCAGAAACATCCTCCTCTTTACACCCCTCAATCACTCCGTCCGGAGAAGGAGAGTTAGATGGAGGGGAGGATATATTGTCTCTGATGGGCTAGCTGATTAAGATGGATTGCACAATGAAATGTCGTTGGAGTGATGAGTTCTTGGAGTGTGTGCATCTGCGCGAGTGTGTGCGTGCGCGCGAATACGGCGTCTCGGCAACTAACTTTGCATTAAAACCTTTTTTCAAATTGATTAAATGCAAATTTGCTTAGCTCTACTGAGCTGCGTTTTCACTCACAAAAGTTTTATCCCTCATTTCCATTTCAGCACTTACTTTTAGTCGCCGCAGTGTTTATCGTGTTTGACATTAAATGCCATTTATTTTGGCCCACGATTTTCCACGCAGAATTGAAATTTAATTGAAAAAGATTTAAAAAGCGAACTGATAAGTTCTCTGTGTTTTTTTTGTGGAATGTCCTTT